GATTTCACCGAATCTTAGTAGACATCATTCTAGACACAATTTAACACGATATACATAATTCCGAGTAAATCGACAAAATATGGGGGTTTTGGTGCACTATTTTAAATCTGACCCGATTTCATCGAAATGCCCAATAATTCTAAACTAATTTCAGTACACTGTGCATCTCAATCGGATAAACATTGAGTGTTTGTTTACATCAAATCGGACGAAATTATATATGAGAGCTATGTCTAAATCTAAACCGAATTTCGGCTCAAACCTTAAAAATACCGAAAATGGAGTGGGATCTCAATATACAAAAAATAATAATAATTCGTATATTATATGAATAGTGTTCAGAAAGCGTTGCCAATGTCCGGATTTCTGCATTTTATGCATGTAATTCATAAAACTTAAAATACCGATATCTTACCAACTTTTGTGTGTGTTTTGTGGTGGCGGGTTTTAAATTACAAAGAAACACTTTGTCTTTGTTATCGTTTTTATTATGTATTTTATTGTTTATCCTGTTTATTTGCTTTCGTGTTCTTGTTTTGCTTCATTATATAAAAAATTAAACATTCGTCTTGTTGCCCGACACACTTGTTTGCTATATTTTAGTTGTCATTTAATTTGTCGAAATAATTTGGAAAATACATATGCCAATGCTGAGGTCGGAAGCAGCACCTTAAATAAGGAAACAATGGGATGCGAAACAGCCACGATCTAATGAGTGGAGAGACGGTGGTTGTTAGCAAGAGAAATAGTAGTCAAAGAAACGGTGAGGTGAGGAGGGAGGGCAATACCAAAAGAAAACCCAGCCGAACAACGAATGATGATGATGGTTTTATTCCTCGGAAGAATACATTTGTTCTTGTCAAAAAAAAAAGAGAAAGGAAACACGAGCGCAAATAGTGGTAAAATAGAGCGAAGTAGGAAAATAGTTTTGATGTTAATGAAAAGTTTAAATTTTTTGGGAAAAATACTGGCTTTATCATAATTTTTACTTTGTGTGTACTAAGCGAGGTACATATACAAAATGGAAAAAATAATGAATGAAATTATGAAAATATGCATTAAGTTTATTTTTTATTGGTTACGAGCTAAGTGAAAAAAATGACCTATATCGAAAAGGTTCTGCAAATATGTTAACCCTCTTCAGTGGAAAATAGGGCATATTTAATGCAAAGAAGAATTAAAAAAAAAAATAGATCCGCTTTTTTCAATCCTTCCCAACATGTAATATTTATTTATTTCATACATCCACTTTCAATGCTATGTACAACCAAACAAAAGTATAATGTGTGTTTAATATCAGTTCAGATCATGACTTAGCTTTAAATGACAAAATTTCGGACCAAGCTGTGTAAAATTCAGAAGGTATCTGAACTTAACCCGTTAATTTTATGTACATTAGCTCTAAATTTACTGGAAAAGTAAGAGTTTATTAAACTGTCCATGATTATTGTATTTGTTTTGGGAGAAAGCTTTCGTAGGAAAGAATATCTTTGCTCGTTTGTTGCAATGCTAGTGTATAATAAGACCACTTTTAATAATAATTTAATCATAACATAATTGGATTACTAAAAGTACACTAAAAAAATAGTCCGAAGTCCAGACATGTAGAGCAAAAAACGCAGGGTGTTTTTATGAATATTTTTATTTAAATGGACCCCACATTCTCGGTGCCAACAAATTTAATTTTGTTTTTTGATTTAATTCGAATATACACTAATTCAAAATTTCAAGTGAAAATCTCAAAAACTCTTGAAGCAGTGTTTTTACGAATGACCGGCACGATAACTCAAAAATTAGTAATACAATCGGTTCCAAATTTTGACATGTTTCTCTGTTAGTATAAGTATCGTATGAACTAGGATAAAGCCAATCGGTGAAGAACTTCTTAATTTTTTGTAACTTTTGTAGCCAAAAATATACGAATTTCAATAAAAAAAATTCAAACGTCCGCCCTTTTGATAATTTTTGAGCGAAGTCAATAATCCTAGTTCATACGAGAGCCAGACATGTGCTCTTTCTAACACCCTTGGAATTGCCGGATTCCGATGTTCCAGTGAGGAGTTGTCATGCCCGTCATCAAAAAACAAGGGCTTTTCTTTAATCACCGAAAACAACAACAATCAAATTTTGCAAATTATTTTTCGTCTCTTTCAAATCTTCTATTATATATGTGTAAAGTTACAAACCTTAACATGCATTGATATTCATTTACCAGACCAATGAAAATCTTGACAATTTTAAATCGAGAATAATATCTTTGGCACATAAATCTTTGTCTGAATCCATAACTGCAAAATGCTTGTGAGTATGATAATGATTACTATCTTCCATTGTCTGTTCTGTTGTGTTAAGATGAAAGTCTTATTCGAACCAGAAATGGAATTTAAATACTAATATAAAAATACTATACACGGCGTTAGCAAAACTATGTCAATATTATAATGTATATTCTTATAAAATACTAATAACCAGTGAACGGTGCAGTATAGTCGGACGGGGCCGACCATATGATACCCTACACAACTAACACCGAACTATAGTTTTTTGCAGATCTATATTCCGAGTCTGTGCCATATTTGCATCCCCTTAATCGATTAGAGGTCAACATCTTCTTTCCTTAGCATATTTTCCAAATCATTTTTCCAGAGTAAAGATTTACGCCATATTATTCATTGATATACCACCAAGTTCTCAGATCTATGTCCGAACGGACGGACACACTTGTCTAGATCGACTCAGCTTGTCAAGATATGACGAACGGTATACTTAAAGGTGGGTCTAGGAACAATATTTCGCGACGTTACAAACTTGGGGCTGCACAGAGATATAATATCCTAACAACATAGTTGTGCAGGGTATAATAATAATTTTTCTCAATATTTTTTTTTTTGTATGTTTTCCTAATGAAGTTGGTCCATTCCATCCCTTAAATATTAAAGGATCACTGCTAAAACAGTAGGTGTATTCTTTGGCCAGAACCGGTCTTACATGCAAATGTTTCTTGGGTCTATAATTGTGACATGTGTATTGTTTAAAATTATAGTGGTCAGGGGGCTGATACGCAAGTCTACATCGTCCCATCTAGTCGATATATGACATAAGATCGATATACTAAAAAGGAGGTCTAGGACCTAAGCGTTACAAATTCTTGGACAACACAAACTTATACAAATCGACGTTTGAGATAGATTTTCATACACTTCCCAATAATTATTCTCAAATATTAAATTCAATATTAACAAAATGTTATTGATATTATTTATTTCAGATAACAACATCAGACATTGAATAGTTGATGCATAAATTCTGGTAAGTGTATTAACATTTCAATACTAGTTTTTATCATAACTTACCTACTTGAGAGGCGTCTAAAATAAAATTCAAATTTTGTTAGGTTTTCTGTTTTTATGTATTTATTTATATTTATTTAAGTCGCATCATATTTATATTCAAAAAAATTATTACAATCTTACAAATTTGTTTTCTTTAATTACACGAAAATGTTTTGTTGTTTGTTTGTTTGTTTTTGGACTCAACATCTTCTAAATTCGAATGAAAGAAAAATATAGTGGCTATCTAAAAAAATTGTTGTTGCTGTCAAGTACTAAAGTATTTGCACAAATATTGTTTTGGTTTTGGTCTACGAATGAACTAATTAATTAATATTAGAGGTACGTACATACATACAAACATATATATATACATACACACGAAAAAATCTTAGATTGGCATAACGTCTTCACTGTTTTACCAAGCAAAAAATGGGGGGGAAACGAGTGTGGGTCTATGACTGTGAGTAAAAAAAATTTACAATCTTAAGCTCTAAAGTTGGAGAATTGAACAAATTATTTGAAATATGCCAAACATGAATTTCTTTGATTTATTTCAAAATAAAATACAACATTGAACACGGACGGAGTGTGGGTTTTTTTTTTTGTAGAACTGGGACCCAGATTTGTTCTTCTCTCACCAAAGGACGTGCACGGACAAATAAATTAAATGCTTTAAATAATAATTGTAGCTACAATTTGTTTGAGTGTGTGTGCGTGTGAAGTTTTTTTTTTCATTGGTGTGCTTGTGTCTGTGTTTACTGCAGTAATTATTTTGTCTGTCTGATGGGTAGTCTGTCTAAATCGTCTAAGAAAAATAAGTTGAAATCTAATCGTTAACTGGTTAGTTAGCTGAAGAAATAGTTGTTTTTTTGTTTCTGAATATCGTTAGAGGTTTGGCGCCTAAGAGGGAAACAAAGTAATCTCTCATAATTTATTTTGTTTTTTTTTTTAGTTTTTCAATCTCACTCTCTTGCTCTATTAATTAAAAATCGTGCCTATTTGTTAATTTCTAAACTAAAAGGATTTCAATCGCTCTCTCATTTTTAAATTTTTAATATATTTTTTTTTAATTTTTTCCAATTTTAGTTTTTCTTGTTGAGTTGGGTTTTTGGGTTAGTAATAATAAGAATTTCGTTTTGATATTTTTTCTGTGTAAATTTTATGTTTTGAAATTATAATTTAAGATTAATTAAAAGTTGCTGATTTTTTATTTGACTGGTCTCTCCTTTATCAGGGATGTGATGCTGATATTTCTCTTTTTATTTGATTTGAGTTCGCTCTTGTGATAATGTTTTTTTTTTTCAAAAAAGCCGAAGTGTATCCCATGGATCTCAAAACTCTCCCTTACTCTCTTGGGGGAAAAATAAACAAACTAGGCTCTCAATATTTTCTCAGGGAGGGTTATTTTAATTCAAAATCCTCTCTCTCTCACACTCTCTTTTCTTTGAGAACGCACTCTCAAGAGAACACATTAGCTGGCAGAGTTGTATTTAATTCCTCTTCATCTTCTTCTTTTTGTTGGGCGAACCGGGCAAATAATGGAGAAGGGGTGTTGTAAATTCGTCAAAGTTATATCATCATTAAGTATATATTGTTGTTGTTCTGGTTTTTAAGTTGGTTGTTTTATTTATTGTTGTTGTTGTTTTTAATTGCTTTTTTTCTATCAACTCAACTTTTAGTCTTTTTATTCTTATCAGCCTCTGATTTATCCGCTATGGCAGCACCTGCAGCTGTGGCGGCTTCCTTTTGTTCTACCGTTGCCAAGGCAGCCTCAGCCATACGTTTATATTTACCAACCAAATCGGGCAAATCGTAAGCAATAGCCACATCCAATTTGGTAATAGGGCAACCACGGAAGTATGAGCAGGTCTCCGATAACTTCTTGAATTCATACAATGGATTCAAACGGAAGAAATCACGATATACTTCAGGATCGGGTAAATCGTAACGTGAGATGTTAGTCAAAGTCGAGAGACCCTCATAGATGTGATAGTTTTGAGGATTTTCAATAATCGTATCGGCAATACGTTTCTTGTTTCCAAACAAGGACTTGTGATTGTAGTAGGTATTCAAATAGCAGTCAACCATTTTGGCGTGATTACGGACGCGGACCTGGAAGGTGGAGGGGGAAATACGTTATTAATATATACCGAAAATATTTTTTTTAAAAAATCCACGCCTTGAGAAAAATTCTCTAAAAAGTATTTTTTTACAAAATTCACACCTTGAAAAAAATTCTCTAAAAACTATTTTTTTAAAAATCCACGCCTTGAAAAAAATTCTCTAAAAAATTATAATTTTTTAAAAAATCCACGCCTTAGATAGACCTTGAAAAATAAAAGACAATACTCACAGCAAAACGACGCGCACTGGCAATTTTGTTTTCAATTCTCTTATCGACAGCAGTACGAAGATCACGCAAAAAGGCTCTTTCTTGGGCCAACAGCAAACGAGCTGGAGCACCCTCTTGGTAGGGACGACCCCACAAGGAGGTAGTATAGACCAATGGTGGTTGAGCCGATGACATCAATGGTGAAATATTCCAAATCAAAGCACTTTGAACACGCAACAATTCCTCAGGTTTCACAGTATCGGCCTTATTCAAAATAATACGGGTTTGATATTCACGACCCTTCAATTGATCCAAAATAGCCTCAGTTTCGGGGCCAACATCCAATTTGGCTGGGTCATAGACCAAGAAAATAATATCAGCACGATCGATAAACCATTGGCAGGCATCATTGAAGGGGAAGAGGCGGGAAACTTGTTTGCGTACTTCCAAGATACCGGGAATTTCAACAATGTTAACCTGCAACAATACCAAATTTTAATTTTTCTTTAAAAATATTTAAAAATTGACATTTACCTTTTCCAACAATTTAATTGGCATTTTCAGGCCACGCAAACGATCCTCCAAACCCTGACCGAATTTCTGCAATCCCGAGAATGTGTAATCGGCAGCCAATTGTGTACCATCCAAAACTTCAGTCTCATTGCCCCACATCAAAATATTGAAATAGGCAGGAGAGGGTTCGGCACCTTTGAAAATATATACAAGAGAAAACCAAAATAGACTCTAAACTCAATTGCAATTCGAAACTTACCAGATCTCAGAGAATGCGGGGTATATTCATTATCAGTCAAATAGTTAATAATCGATGATTTACCACCAGACCATGGACCCATAAACAATACCAATGGTTTGGAGAAAATTTCCGGATCACCAAAGTGACGATTACTCAAGTCACGATATTTGTACATAACTTCCAATGGTTTAATGGCATTCTCATAGGTACGCTTAATGTCACGCAAGATGACTTCAGCCACATTATCCAAAGCCTTTTCACGGGCATTCGATTGTTCATCGAGTTGCAGGAGTTCATTGATGTGATCACGGCTACGACGTTGAGCAGGAATTTCACCTTCCTAATTATATCGGGAGGGAAGAATAATTTTTGATTAGAATTTATATGGAATATTTGGAAGGAATACTATTTCAAAATCCTGGAAATATGTACTGTTTCTTTGGGAATTGTGTTAATTTTCTTTAATTATTTGAAGCTATTTAAAAAATAATTCTTCAGTTTGCAAATGGAGGTGAGTTATTTCGTGCAGCCTAAAAGTATGTTACATTATATGTGAATCATTATTTGAATTTCTGAATGGTAGGGTTTTATAGGTTGACTTCGGTGACAAATTATTCTACAACTGACACCTATATTATCATTCCGTTTGTAATTCTACATAATATCCTACCCATCTATGATGTTTTGATATCAATATGGTGTGGACCCTAAAGTGTGTAACGCCGTAAAATATTGACCTTAAACCAGTTGGTATACCGTTAGTCATATTACGACAAGCTGAATCGTAATCAAAAGAATAAGCATGACTGTTTCCTCCAGAGGAGATAGACCGGTGATGTTGGCAGTGTATTCAAAAGTAGTGGTTCTCCTTTAAATTAATACTTATCATATTAATGTATTAACTAGGTTATGGGAGTTGTACCAACATATTGGCAGGTGTCTACGTTTTTTCATACCCTACACAGCTATAGTATAAGAGTATTATAGCTTTGCGTGGCCCCAAGAATTTGTAATGCCGTGAAATATTGATCCTAGACCTACCTTTTAGTTTACCGATCGTAATATCTCGACTAGCTGAGTCGATCTTGACATACGTGTCCGTCCATTTTGCATGAAGGGCGAGTTGTGGGCATTAATAATGATCGGTTAATATTTAGGGAATGGAATGGACCAACATTATGGTCCGAACATCACAACATTTTACACAGTGAGAACGGTCTGACCATGCAATAAGCGTGACTGTTTTGATGAAGATCGGTCAATATTTAGAAGGTCAAATCGACCCAGACTTTTATAAGAAAAATTACCAAATTCTCATTCTTTGGCTTTTATATTTACTTCTGACTGTATATTCCAGAGGAGCTCACCTTTAAATTGGTACCGATTATATTATTGTATGTATTGTATGTGGGGAGTTATACGCAAATATTTAAGGGTTTCTACATATTCTGATATTGTTCAGTATTACCATTACCACGCCTATAATTTTCGAAGATGTTCAGATGATATTTTACGTATGAAGGACCGAAATTTTTATTTTTGTCTGTTTTTCTAGTCCTTTAAGAAGCCACAATTATTAGGCAAACACCACAAAGTTTCCATAGGGAAGGCGACCAACTAAGTCGAATGGCTGTCATGATAACGAAGGTCAATATTTAGTGGGTCAAACGAACCAAAACTTTTTTGTGTAAAATAACAAAATTTGAATCATAAGGAATATTTTTTTACACCGGGAAAACATGATTCGGAAAATATTCCACAGAGGAGCTGTTGATCTTTAATCGGTCAATAGAGTGCAAATTTTGGTAGTTGTGGTCGGCCTCGTCGAACTATATTGACCTATAATATAAATCAAATATGGGAGAAATACTAAAATATGTTAAGGTATCTACACATTTAAGTATTATTATGTATTACTACTATCACCATAGAGGGTGAAATTATCGCTATATATTGGCCATGCTTGGACTATAGATCCGAAGAAGGTTCAGTGGTAGTTTTGTTCATCTGTTCATCGCTTTTGACTACATAATGTGTATTTATTCTTGACCAGAATGCAATGCTAATGCGATTATGCAACATATGTCTGCCATGTCCCGAAAGAATTTCGAGGTGCTGAAATTTTGTTCAGTTTCGAAGATTGTCCGATTCGGCTTTAGAAGCATTTCCTGACAGAATTGGAAGTAAATTAGCTTTTGCATAGATATCGGTGGAAAATCTCCCTACCAAAATCCATCAATATCGATCTATAATTAATTATAGATTACATATAACAATACCCTAATGTACCGTATTTTGAAAACATTTTCCAATAATATATTTAATTTAAAAATGGCTATAATTATGTGCTATCGGAATGTATGATTTGTTCTTTAAGCATATATTTTTGTCGTTACGCTTGAAACACCTCGAAATATTCATGGGACACCTCATACAGTTTATATGAAATTCAACGTCGATGTTGATTACAATAAATATTAAATATGGATCTATTGGCTACTATTGCTATTGTTAGGAGTTTTGGTATTGAAATTGGGATATGTCGGTTCATTGATCCATGCTCCAATCGAATAAGCTATTATTTGTATCTTAAATGCGCACCCCATGAAAAGTTCGACTCGTTTTTTAGCAGTTCGAACCTAAGTGTTGTTAGCAGTCGTCGTACGTTATAACCCATGGTGGAATATAATAATTCACCACTCTTAAAAATACACATCTTTATTAAATAAGTTGCGCCTAAAAGCATATCTTAAGCTTTATATATAACTGCAAGGTGTGTCAAACCAACTATCCCAGCTATCTAAACACATTTCTACAATGTCGGTATTATTAAAATTAATGAGGTTAAAAGTATTCCAAATTTTTAAAATAACCATATTTAAGGAAAAAAAATCAATGTAAAATTAACACAATTTCCAAAAAAAGTTTTTTTAGATTTCCAAGGATAATAACTACATTTTCTACTCTAGGATAAGCGGGTACTTAAAATTAAATTGCAATCAAATTTAAAGCTTATTTTTCGGCATGCAAATTAAAGCGTTCTAAGAATATTAAATCAAAATGTTCACCATCATATATATATGTGCAACTGCAATGGAACGATCGAATGTTGAGAAAGGATATTTGCGATAATAATAACCCAGGATCTTAGCAAAGAATACACTAATTTTAGGTAAAAAAAAACGATATTCAAATCAATAACTGTGATCGGCAGAAAGGAAATGTCTTGGTCACACACAGAAAATTTATTTCAGATCTTAGAGTGGAGAGAGATTTTAGGAAAAAGTAAAGTACTTCCTATACTTCTCCCTCCAAATCCATCATCCGGCTGTGTGTGACCTTCAAGAAAAAAATGATATCAAGTAATAAATGATACGTATATTTCTAATAATCGGCAACAATGTGATATTGGCAGCCATAACAACAACGCTAGGAATATAATTTAATATAATTTTAGAATGTTTTATATAAAACAATGAGTGAAGAGAATGCTATGTGTTTTTTGTCGGCAACTCAATATTCCCAATTAATAATGAGTAGGTAAACTTATAAAACCTGTAAACTTTAAAAATAAAACAAACAATAATTATCAAGTAATAGAAGTAATTGCAAGTAAATTACAGTGAAAGTAGAAGGGAATGATCAGGATATCAAAGAAATCAACAAGTTTTTGTTCAGTTTTTTTTTTCATTGTCATCATTACAATCTTACCCATAGCAATTCATCTTCTGGCCTTGTTTCAATATCATCAAGCTCACCATCACTATCATCTTCCTCGTTAAGCAAACCATCTCCATCACGATCAACATCATGTTCATTGAGGACACCATCACCATCGATATCATCATCCTGATAATTGGGTATACCATCACCATCGATGTCATCATCTTGATGGTTAGGCACTCCATCACCATCTTTATCCTCATCCAAATCATCGGGTATACCATCACCATCCATATCAGATTGTTTAATGGCCTCGGTCAAATCACGCTTGGCACGTTTAATGGCCTTTGCTTGCATAGCTGAGGGTTCATGATCATCTTCATCATGAGCATTGGGTATACCATCGCCATCGATATCCTTGTCCACAGTATTCGGTATACCATCACCATCCATATCGGCATCCATTTCATTGAGTAGAATATCTCCATCAATATCGGAATCATCATCATTGAGTATACCATCACCATCGATATCGAGGCTGGTAGGCTCTTCATCATTTGGCAAGCCATCACCATCAATGTCGTGATCTTTTTCATTGTTAATACCATCACCATCAATGTCTTCATCAATGGTATTGGGTTTGCCATCACCATCGATGTCGCTATCCTCATGGGCCGGTATGCCATCACCGTCGACATCATAATCCTTGTGGTTGGGTATACCATCACCATCCATATCAGGATCTTGGGCATTTGGTATGCCATCACCATCTATGTCGGGTTCACCGGCAACCTTCCAAGGATATTTTTTATGAATTTTATTTTTTTTCAAAATTTTCAAAAATTGAAATGTTTTTAACCAAAAAAACTCCATAACTTTAAAATATAGGGTCTTTTTTCTTTAGGGATCAGGATAGTTGGAGTAAGTGCTATTGTGCTGTTAAGCTTCAGGTTGGACATTTTAGATTAAAAAACCAAAACCATATAACAAATAATTAAAACTCGGTTGGGGGGAAACGAATGTAATTTTTGCTCTGTATTCTGTCATTTAGACCAGTTTTTTAACGAGCTGGACCTTAGAAGTAAACCAACGTTGTTTTGAAAAATGAAATAATATTCGTCCTTTTTAGTTTTGCGTTTTTTTCATTTGACGTAAGAATGACTCATGATAAGAATGGTGGATAGAGAACAACAACAACGAATCAACCAACCAACGAACCAATTTCTATTAAATTCTTACCCTCTTAACTTTACCACCAGCCTTCTTATCATCGGCCTCGCCATCATGATCATCACGATCATTGGGCACCCCATCACCATCCCGATCTGTATCAAGATGATTTGGCACCCCATCCCCGTCAATGTCCACATCCAAATGATTTGGTATGCCATCACCATCGATATCATCGTCCTCATGATTGGGTACACCATCCCCATCGCTGTCATCATCCCGGTGATCGGGTATACCATCACCATCCAAATCACGATGATCATCATCATGGGCATTTGGCACACCATCACCATCGATATCCTTGTCATGGACATTTGGCACTCCATCGCCATCCATATCCTCATCCAAATCATTGGGTATGACATCACCATCAATATCTTCATCATCATCATTGGGTATGCCATCACCATCAATGTCCAGACTCTTGGGTTCATGCTCATTTGCCAAACCGTCACCATCAACATCCTCATCTTCATGGTTCAAGGTACCATCACCATCAATATCTTCATCCTCATGATTCAAAGTACCATCGCCATCAATATCAGGATCGGCATGACTTGGCAGACCATCACCATCCATATCACTGTCCTCATGATTCAGTATACCATCACCATCCATATCGGTGTCATGGACATTGGGTATGCCATCACCATCGATGTCATGATCTCTGGAAATCTTCCGTAGGTGGGGATATTTTAAAAACAATTTTTTTTAATGTTTATTCGCAACATAAAGAGAGAGGAAAAAACAAATGCTTAAAAGAGCAGGCGAATCATGATGGGGAACTGATTGACCCGCCCATGGAAAATCTGTGTTACGTTTCTTCATGTGGCGACTGACTGTCTGGTGTGTAGATTTATTTTTCTTTGTTTGAAATGTTCCGATGTTCCATGTTTTCAACAATTTTTTTTAATATCTTACCCTTGTCGTCTTTTTATCCGCCTTTTTGTCATGCACATGACCACCCTCGTGATCGTCGTGCTCATTGGCTATGCCATCACCATCACGATCCACATCCTTGTGATTGGGTATACCATCACCATCTATGTCATCATCCTTATGATTGGGTATACCATCACCATCGATATCATCATCTTTATGATTGGGTATACCATCACCATCCCGATCATCATCCAGACAATCGGGTATACCATCACCATCCATATCAGGATGATCATCATCATGGGCATTCGGCACACCATCGCCATCAATGTCCTTATCATGCAAATTTGGTATACCATCACCATCCATATCTGGATCCAATTCATTGGGTATCACATCACCATCAATATCTTCATCATCATCATTGGGTATGCCATCGCCATCAATATCTAAACTTGTCGGTTCATGTTCATTCGACAAACCATCACCATCTGCATCATGATCCTTTTCATTTAATATGCCATCACCATCGATATCCTCATCCTCATGATTCAGTGTGCCATCACCATCGATATCCGGGTCAACATGGCTTAGCAAACCATCACCATCCATATCGATATCCTCGTGATTCAGTATACCATCTCCATCCATATCGGTGTCATGGGCATTGGGTATCCCGTCACCATCAATATCGCTGCCATGTCCTCTGGAAATCTTCCATAATGTCGATATTTAATACTTAAATTAATTTTTCACAACATTTTAAATGTCTTCTGTTCGGAAGTGGATCCAAGATCCACCCCAAACCACAATAACAGAAAAATAGTGTAAAGAAACGAAAACTTTTGTGCAGAGTAAAGTAGAAAAGTAAAAAACTTGTATAAATATGGAATTGTTTTGGTGATGACAATTCCAGATCCACAAGACAAGACCCAGAATGTCATCCCACCCAGACAACAAGACAATGAACGAGTAAAATTGGACGAAATAAATTGTACGAATTGTGGAGACTTGGTAAGTCTCATGAGTCGACAGATAGAGAGAGAAAGAAAGAGAGAGTGACCGTGTAACTGACCGTGATAGTGACGTGATGGTGGTGACGTTGTAGTGTCAAATCTTACCCGTTTCTTTTTTATCTTATCATCCGCCTCGCCATCACTGTGATCCTGTTCATTGTGGAAACCATCCCCATCGCGATCTATATCCCTCTCATTGGGTATACCATCCCCATCGATATCATCATCCTTCAAATTTGGTATACCATCAGCATCGATATCATCATCATGATGATCCGGTATACCATCCGCATCCATATCACGATGATCTATATCTTGGACATTTGGTACCCCATCGCCATCAATATCACGATCGCGTACATTCAATATACCATCGCCATCCATATCTTCATCCATTTCATTGGGTATAACATCACCATCGATGTCTTCATCATCATCATTCGGTATACCATCACCATCGAGATCCAAACTTTTCGGTTCCTCATCATTTGGCATACCATCACCGTCCAAATCATGGTCCATTTCATTCGTAATGCCATCACCATCAATATCTTCATCTTCGAAATTTGGAGTTCCATCACCATCAATATCGGAATCTTCGGCAGTGGGTATGCCATCACCATCGGCATCATTGTCCTCTTGATTTAGGATGCCATCACCATCCATGTCCGTGTCATGGACATTGGGTATGCCATCGCCATCAATGTCACTAGCGGCGACACCTCTGGAAATCTTCCCAAAAGTTAAGATTTAATACAGAGGCGTCTTTACTTCTTTCAAAAATTTGTTGTGGGGTACAGTGATCGCCATATTAGACCACTGCCACTCCAGGGAATTTTTATTTCTTGGGAAAATCTAATTTGTTAAGGGAAAAATGTCTGTATGCCATAATGTTGTTTTTTTTTAGATTCTGAAATCAGGTTTTCGAGTAGTGACTTGATTAGCAAAACGTTTTGTTACTGGTCATGTGTGGTGGTCCATAGTTATTACTGGTGGGGATTTTTTAATAACCTTGTTTCTTATCCGAAATAGTCCAACATTTTCAGATACAATGTGTTGGTGTTCATGGCATGTCGATGATCATTTCTTTCAATTCTTACCCGTGTCGCCTTGTGCTGTCCCCTTTTCTTATCATCTGCCTCACCATCACTATCATCCTGATGATTATGGAATCCATCGCCATCACGATCTATATCGTGGTCATTGGGAATACCATCCCCATCTATGTCGTTGTCCAAGTGATTGGGAATACCATCCTGATCAATATCGTCATCATGATGATCCGGCACACCATCACCATCCATATCACGATGATCCTTGTCTTGAACATTTGGCACACCATCCCCATCAATATCCTTATCACGTACATTTAAAATACCATCACCATCCATATCCTCATCCAGCTCATTGGGTATAACATCACCATCGATATCTTCATCATCATCATTGGGTATGCCATCACCATCTAAGTCCAAACTTTTGGGTTCTTCATCATTTGACATGCCATCACCATCTACATCGTGATCCTTGTCATTGGCAATGCCATCGCCGTCAATATCATCGTCTTCATGATTGGGTGTACCATCACCATCAATATCCGAATCTTGATCTGTGGGTATACCATCACCGTCGGCATCAAAATCTTCATGATTTAAAATACCATCACCGTCCATATCGGTGTCATGGACATTGGGAATACCATCGCCATCAATGTCACTATCATGGCGTCTGGAAGTCTTGCCATAAAAATTTGTAATTTAACACCAATGGAAACAAAAACAAAATGGAAATAGAACAAAACTATTGAATAATCCCAACAAAAAGTCAATATTTTTTAAAACAAACAACCAGAAAGGTGCCAAGAAGAGATAAAATGAGAGAAGACAAATTTTCAAATCCACAAATTTTGTATGCGATCCGAATAAAATGTACGATTTAAAGAAGAGAAAGTAGAAAAAGTAATGTAACAACACCCCAAGAGCTCACATTTGAGGATAACAGAAGAAGAAAATATGAACGATAAAGATAAAAACACAAGAAAGACTTCGTCGGTTTCATTTTTTGCCTCTTACCACTTTCACTTTAACACCCAATTTCTTATCATCCTTTTCACCATCCCTCGAATCCTTTTCATTTGGCACCCCATCACCATCACGATCTGTATCTTTGTGATTTGGCAAACCATCACCGTCAATGTCATCATCCCGCTCATTCGGTATACCATCACCATCAATATCCTCATCATGTTCATCCAATATCCCATCATCATCCAGATCATCATGATCCTCATCGTGGGCATTGGGTACACCATCACCATCGATATCTACATCTTTGATATTTAAAATTCCATCACCATCCATATCTTCATCCAATTCATTTGGGATAACATCGCCATCAATATCATCATCTTCATCATTGGGTATACCATCTTTGTCGAAATCTAAAGATGTGGGTTCATCGCGATCAGCCATTCCGTCACCATCGTCGTCTTCATCTTTTTCATTGGCAATGCCATCTCCATCGATATCTTCATCTTCACTATTCAATTTACCATCACCATCGATGTCGGTATCCTGACCAATGGGTATGCCATCGCCATCAACATCGGAATCGGCGTGATTTAAAATACCATCACCATCCATATCGCTGTCTTTGTCATTGGGTATGCCATCGCCGTCCAAATCGTGTTCACGGGCTCTGGAAATCTTCCAGAAAAGCATAATTTAATAATCAAACACGTACATGGAATGAGGCCTCAGATGTATGGAACAGGCAGGATGATAGAAAATCAGAAAATAGAGTAGAGTCGGTTTTTTTTTAAGTTTAAAAGTGGAAACCAATCGATAGATTTTTTAATATTTAGATTTGTATTTGTTTGTTATATAGAAATTGAGTCTGATACATCATTAATTTGTTATAGAAGTTCTGGATCATGTAGTCTGCACGTGCTTCCTTAATTTGTCTTTGAAATTCAGGATCATTTTGTAGGTTTTGTGGTATGAAGTCTGGGATATTTTAAATTGTTTTCGAAATTCCTGATTTTTAAATGGGTTGAGAAATGAATAATTGGGCATGTCGTCGGCGTAAAAATCGTGTTAATGAACTCTGGACAACAGGATGGTAGTGTAGATAGATAGAGGGAGGGTAGTTGACATTTTTAATTTTATTTTTTAATTTATGCCATTTTTTTCAATATATATTTTTGTATTTGTATTTAATTTGCAAATAGAGATCGATAAATCCTTAATTTACTGTTGAAATTCTTGATGATTTTGTAGGTCTAGTGAAATGAGAGATCCTTTGTATTATTTTTTGAAGTGGAAACTAAGAGATCGTTAATTTGTTACTTGAAATCGGGATCCATATTTCTTAGTATAGTATTTTTGGTACTTAATTTCGATTTATATCCTATAGTATTTGTACTTATTCCAGTTTTTATAAATGATTTGCAAAGACCTTTAGTTATGTTCGAATCGAGGTTCAGTATAGCTTCCGAATGACTTCCGTATGCTGTTGTATTTGTAGTTATTTAAGTTTCAGAAATGATTTTGAGAGATATTTTTTTAGATTGCAATTCAGGATAGTTTTTGAACGATTATTTGTGAAAAGAATGAAATTCAATATGTTCCCCTATTTTTCTTACCCGTTTCAATTTATGTTTCGATTTCTTATCATCCGCTTCGCCATCACGACGATCTTTCTTATTCGGTATACCATCACCATCACGATCTAAATCATGTTGATTTGGTATCCCATCACCATCAATATCTGTATCTTTATGATTAGCAATACCATCACCATCAATATCATCATCATGTTCATCAATGATACCGTCACCATCACTATCACGATGATCGTCATCATGGGCATTTGGTATCCCATCGGCATCCATATCTTTGTCACGTATATTTGGCATACCATCTCCATCCATATCATCATCCAATTCATTGGGTATATCATCACCATCAATGTCGCTATCATCATCATTCCCTACGCCATCATTATCGATATCAAGGCTGTGAGGTTCTTCAGCATTAACAATGCCATCACCATCAATATCTTCATCCTGGTCATTGGCTATACCATCGCCATCTACATCTTCATCCTCACTATTTGCCTTGCCATCGCCATCTATATCTGAATCTTTGGCCGCTGACAAACCATCGCCATCTACATCGGAATCTTCATGGTTCAATATGCCATCACCATCCATATATAGGTCTTTGTGATTGGGTATACCATCGCCGTCGATGTCATTTGCACGAACTCTAGAAATCTTCCCAAAAATCAAAAGTTAATTCTTAATTTTTTTTCAGAGTCCCGAATCAGAAGTGTCATGGGGCAATTGATGATTGGATCTGTGTGAAATTATTTTTCTTTGTTTTTCGTGTCTTGCCTTCTTACCCGTTTCATTTTCCTTTCCAATTTTTTATCATCAGCTTCATAATCTCGCGAATCCTTAACATTTGGTATACCATCTCCATCTCGATCTGTGTCCTGTTGATTTGGTATACCATCACCATCGATATCATGATCTTTATCATTGGGTATACCATCACCATCGATATCGGCATCATGTTCATCGATAACACCATCTTTATCCATATCTCTGTGATCATCATCGTGGACATTGGGCACTCCATCGCCATCAATATCACGATCACGTAAATTGAGTACACCATCACCATCCATATCCTCATCCAATTCATTGTGTATCGAATCACCATCGATATCACTATCCTCATCATTGGGTATGCCATCTTTATCGATATCCAAGGAATGTGGTTCTTGATCATTTGGCATACCATCGCCATCTACATCACGGTCACGTTCATTTGATATGCCATCACCATCGATATCATCATCTTCGGCATTCGGTTTGCCATCACCATCGATATCGGTATCCTCATCGGTGGGTATACCATCACCATCGACATCATTGTCATCGCTGTTCACAATGCCATCGCCATCCATGTCGTAGTCATGTTCATTGGGTATGCCATCACCGTCGATGTCCTTGCCTCTGGAAACCTTCCAATTGTTTGTATTTAATAAAAATATATTCTTTATGGAAAGAAGGTAGTCGTATATGCAGCTGAAGAATGTTGTAATCATGAAGAAGTGTTTCCGATTTTTTGTTTTCATATTCAAGTTTCAAATATTTCAGTGAAACTGTGTAATTTTGTGCAAACAGAAACCATTGTAAGAAGGAGAAGTAGTGAACAGAAAGTGTCTTAAATTGTTTAACAGTGAATTTTCATTTTCAAATTTCTTTTTTCTTGCTCAAATCTCGTGTTTAAGTGCCGAAACGTGCATTCAAAAATATATCACAAGTGATTGTGTGCCATAGAAGTGATCATTGTAGGTGTGTCAAGTCAAAAAATCAACAACAATATGACCCGCAATTCTTACCCATTTCTTGTCGTCATGTTCACCATCATTATCATCGCGTTCATTTGGCAAACCATCACCATCACGATCGGCATCTCGATCATTTGGTATACCATCACCATCAATATCGCTATCCAATTTATTTGGTATGCCATCCCCATCGACATCATCATCCTGATGATTTGGCACACCGTCACCATCACGATCATCATCCCGGTGATCGGGGATACCATCACCATCCATATCATGATGATCATCATCCTGTTTATTGTGTACCCCATCACCATCCACATCCATGTCATGGGCATTGGATATACCATCACCATCCATGTCATCATCAAAATCATTCGGGGTATTATCACCATCAATATCGTCATCTTCATCATTGGCTACACCATCGCCATCAACATCGTTGTCTTTTTCATTTGAGACACCATCTCCATCGATATCTTCATCCAAATGATTTGGTGTGCCATCACCATCAATATCCTCATCCAAGTGATTGGGTGTGCCATCGCCATCAATATCATTATCCAGGTGATTGGGTGTCCCATCACCATCTATGTCGGTATCCTCTTCGGCGGGAATACCATCGCCATCCATATCGTTGTCTTCATGATTGGCAATGCCATCACCATCCATGTCATCGTCGTGTATGTTTGGAATGCCATCGCCATCAATGTCGTTAGGATCTCCACGTTTTCCGGAAACCTTCCATAATAATACTCAAATTCTTTTACTATAGTGTGGAACAAGAATTTAAAGGAAAAAATCTACCCTAAAACTTGGACTGAAAATTCAAAGAAATTTCCCTTCAAACCCTTTTTAAGTTCATATCCCCTTCCCAATAATTTCAGATAATAATTTCTCGGTTTTCTTCACATCAATCGATCGACCCCATTATCCAGGATGTAGTACGCACTAATCTCTTTCTACAAGCTGGCAAAGCGCTCTAAAGCAGGTCCTTTCTTTCATAAATTTAAATCTTACCCATAATAATTCATCTTCTGGCTTAGTATCTTCCTCTTCGGTTTTGGCCTCTTCATCGGGT